AAAAAAAAAAAAAAAAAAAAAAAAAAACCCGGTTTAAAAACACATGATTTAAAAAAAAAAAAAAAAAAACGGAATTATGTGTTTTTGCAAATAAACTCTTCATATAATAAATTAAACATTACCTTGTCATAATAGTGGTTTATAATTTAGACAGATAATCGTTATATATGCCAATAAAATAAATATAACCATATTAGAATATTACCTTATTACTTATATTAGCGCTTTATAATTAACATATCATACAACTATATATATATAGTAGGCTATAACTATATTGTAATATTATATAATGTTGTGCACTATCTGTCACGCCCACTGAAGGCTCATCAGTAGATCACACGTGCGCTGAAGTGAACTAACCCTGGAACATAACCTGTTCCGGAGCAGGTTATCTTCAGAGAGCAAGTTGCTATGGTTACTTACATACCCTGAAAGTAACCTCTGATTTTGGAACCGAAAGCTGAGGTTATCCGCTCGCTTATCCTCACACATACCCGGGTATGTCACATAACCTGCTTTCTGGAATACCCCCAGGCCTAAGTGTCTTATTGATGTTTTATTATTTCCTTATTATTCCCATTAATATATTGTGTTCTACATTATTCTGTACATACTACAAATACACACATTCTGCGTATATAAAACACCCAGAAGCAGGTGTTTTCAACTACAATATCTGACTCGTTTGATTGAAACACAAAAGGTTTATACACGCACACAAATGTTTTCTTGCACAATGAACATTTGATATGTGATAATGTTGAAAACCAGCATTTCAAACATTACTTAGTTGCAATTTCATCATACATTGCAGTGCATAATAGCAGACGCTTGGGTTCATTTCCGTGACAGGTGACACTGATCATATTTACTCTGTGAACTGGTTAAACACACGCCAGTGCCTTTCTGCAAACATCAGCCACTCAGGTTTCAATGAGGCTCAAGAGTCCAAAGCTTGTTTTTACACACACAAATTTATTTGTCATTACACAGGCTACTCCTTCTTGGCAGCAGCTTTCCTCATCGCGGCCAAGATGTTGCTGAGCTCTTCTCTCTTTCTCTTGGCGCGGATGTGAGTTCCCACCTACACACACACACACACACATACATTACAACACAATCAGATCATGAGGATAACATGAGGTTCAGCAGAAATCAAACCTGCCTCTACAACAGCAGTTTTATGTGCTGTTAAAATATCATTGAGTGGCTTCATCACGTAAACATAAGGTCAGATGCTGTATTATTACAGTTATCTAAAACGGTTAATTGAAAAAACAAACAAAAAAAAACTTGTACAACTGAAACAAAATAGAAAAAATACATTAAGTTATTAAATCAGCTAAAACATCTCATTTTCATTTAATTTAATATACTAAAATAATTAAACGAAGTAAAGTAATGAAAATATATTTACGCATTACACAAATACTGAAACTTAAAATCCAATTCAAAAACAAAATTAATATAAATCATAAAAAGATTTAGATTAAAATCTTATTTAAAAACAAATCAATTTAATCAAATAAAATTAATATAAAAAACATCTAATTCAAAACATTAATAAAAAATATTAGTATCTCAATTACACTAAAATAACACTGGTCAGATGTCAGTAATGTCCTTTAGTATCAGAAAAGAATAAAATTTGGACGGATAAAGAATCCAGTCATTTAAAAAAAAAAAAAAAAAAAAAAGTTGCAACAAACTGCAAAAATCATATCGGTCGTTCCTCCAATACCATCTTTTATCAGACTTTGTACAAATTGTTCAAAATGTTATAGTTGTTTCAAAGATGTTTTCTTTCAAATTATATCAATGTATATGGATATAAATAATGTAACATGAACAAAATGAAATTTTCTGTCATGCTGCACAATTTGTGATATGATGCGAATAAAACCCCCACTTTGTTACACTTGTGATAAAAAAAAAAAAAAAAAAAAGACTGGCCTGCTAATAAATTTCTTATGCTATATTACAGCATTTTTTGCCAACTTTTCTTTTGATTAGCACAGGTTTTGGATTTCTTTTTTTGGGGAACGAAGGCTGCACTGATCTGTATTGAAGCCCGTTTCCACCACTGAATAAAAAAAAAAAAAAAAAAAAAAAAATGACTGTTTATCTCACAATTCTGACTTTCTCTCGCAATTCAGACTGTTTTCCTCGCAAATGTGAGTTTATATCTCTATCTGCTTTTTCCCTAGCAGTTCTAACTTTTTTCTCGGAATTGCTAATTTATATCCCGCAACTCTGACTTTTTTCCTCGCAAATCGGACTTTTTTTTCTTGCAATTGCGAATTTATATCATGCAATTCTGACTTCTTTTCTCAGAATTGTGACAAACTCACAACAGCATGTAATAAAGTCAGAATTGCGAAGATATAAACACAATTCTGAGAAATTAAGTCAGAATTGTGCTATATATAAGCTTTTTCTGAGTTTACGCATTTTAAGTGTCTCGCAATTCTGAGAAAAAGTCAGAATTATGAGTTTATATCACAATTCTGAGCAAAAAAAGTCTGAATTGTGAGATGTAAACTTGCCACTTGTTTATATTTCGCAATTCTGACTTTTTTTCCCTTGCAATAGCGAGTTTATATTTCGCAATTCTGACTTTTTTCCCTCGCAATAGCGAGTTTATATTTCGCAATTCTGACTTTTTTTCTTGCAATAACGAGTTTACATTTCGCAATTCTGACTTTTTTTCTTGCAATAACGAGTTTATATTTCGCAATAATGAGTTAATATTTCACAATTCTGACTTTTTTTCTTGCAATAACGAGTTTATATTTCGCAATTCTGACTTTTTTTCTCGCAATTGCAAATTTATATTTCGCAATTCTGACTTTTTCTCACAATTCTGACTTTTTTTCTCGCAATTCTGACTTTCTCAGAATTGAGACTCTTTCTCACAATTATGACTTTTTAACTCGCAATTGCGAGTTTATATCAAGCAATTCTGAGAAAGAAGTCAGAATTGTGAGATAAAAAGTCGCAATTACCTTTTTTATTTTTTATGCAGTGGCAGAAACGGGCTTCCACAGATCTGAGATGAGTAAGGGACAAAAAAAAAAAAGCATCATTTGTGGATAATTTTGGCAATATTCACTCAAAATGTGAGGAGCATTGAGGCCTACGATCCACCAGTTCCAAAAACAAACAAAAAAACTGTGTTGACTGGAAGAAAACAGGTTGACAAAAGACTGAATCCAACATTTGGTTATAGTATAGCATAACGAGAAATTTACAAGCAATTCTCAACAGCTGGTCATTTTTGACTGGGAACACCAAATTAGGTAAACTTGACAAATTCAACACGCACCCTTTTCTTGATGAACTTGAGGGCGCGTTTGTCCTTGGACACCTTGAGCAGCTCCATAGCACGCCTCTCGTACGGCGCGAAACCGCACACCTCGCGAATCATGTCGCGCACAAACTTGGTGTGTTTGGTCAGATGCTGAAACGCAAGAACAACGTCACATTAAACATGATAACAGTAGCTATGTTTCCATCCAAAGATGCGAATTTAACTTGTGCGCAAAACTGGAATATCGCATAAAACATATGCGAATAAAGCACCGTTTCCATCCAACGAGCCAAAGAGAACAAAATCATCACTTCCTGATAAACTGGCACTAAATATCTCTAAGAAAACTAGGAGAAGGCCACTGAATATAATAATTTTCATATGTAATAAATCACTTGCGCTTCAGAGAGAGCAGACGTAACAATAAATGCGGTCATTGCTTTTAGAGGTGGATGCCTGCTGTTTGGAAACACAGTTGTGTAAGACAGTAATTATACAGAAATACTTTGATAACAGACTTTCCTCACGCATTTCAGAACGACCAAAACAACATATAGATGCTGTAAACGACATCGGTCCGCTGGTTAGTCAAGTTATCCCGTCTCATAGCGCAAAGTCACATGACTTTTTCAATGCGCATGGTGGAATTTATTCGGTAAATGTGTTTCCATCGTAGTTTATGCGCATTTTTTCTTATCGGATAAAAAGTTTATGCTACTCAGTTGTGCGCATAAATTTTTTATGCGCATTTTTAGAATTTATGCGCATCTTGACGTTTCCATCCAGCGTTTTTTATGCGATCATCCAAAATGCGCATAAAAATAGTTGGATGGAAACTAGTGGTCGACTGATATATCGCCAAGGCCGATATTTGGCATTTTTCAAATATCGTTATCGGCCGATAAGTTTTTCTGTTTGGCTGATGCGTTCGAGGCGGGACTTTTATTTTGACGGTGCTGACAGCAGTTCTGTCTAATACAGGATAGAAGTCTTGTCTAATAAACCGATAGAACTGTTAAACAACGGAATTAAAATGTATACAAAAAGTATTATAACGATTGCTTTTATATTATTATTAATAGAAAGGCAAACGTTATAATACGTTCTCGTTTGCCGTCAGCATTCAGCAAATACACATTTACATCATTTAAACAAATTTTGAATGGCTAATGAAAATTTAATTTAACAAACCGTGCAAACTTAAGTCGAATCCAGTTGTGAGATCTAGTGAAGTGTGCATGTGACCTGCACGATTGCGTGTTCTCTGCGTGATTTTCGGTCTGTGCGAATTTAATGTTTTAACATTAAATTAGTGTTTTCAAATTATGCGGCGCTTTATGCATTTGCCCACTGTCATATTCATGTTATTTTCACTGTGTGCTGTATGTAAAATGAGTGTTACCTTGGCTTTATTTGAAAAAATCCACTGTCATATTCATGTTATTTTCACTGTGTGCTGTATGTAAAATGAGTGTTTCCTTGGCTTTATTTGAAAAAAAAAAAGATTCCCAATGCACACAAACTTCCCAGATTACGGAGTGCTCTGTTGGTTACAGTTTACTTCTTTTAATTGTATTTTTATTAAGTATTTATTTGTGAAAAATACTTTGTCATCTAAAGTATGTTTATTTTACAAATTTATTTTTTTATCCATTTTCAAATGATTTCAAATTTCTTAAATATTAATTAAAAATAAATACAATTATATCGGCCACCCTGCTTTCCAAGATATCGGCAGTAAAAAAAAAAACCCAGTATCGGTCGACCACTAATGGAAACATAGCTAGTGATATAATATTGTGCATATGGCAATGCATAGTGGGAGAAACTCCAGGCTTTCTGTTGGTTTTATGAAGGCATGTTTAAGACATGTTTAGTGCAAATAAACAAACTTTAAAAGGAAGACAATGTTAATATGGTCTTGTATTACCAGCACTTTATAGTTGGAAGATGCAACTTTCAATAGATCTTCATTACTATTTAATTCATTTTACAAATAGAAAAACACTAGAATATGAAAATAACTACTACTGTACCTTCTGATAACACTGCAAAATATCTGTATATTTGAAAAAATTGATGTCCTTCCTCAATATTTGCGTTTCGTTTTCCAGTGCAAATGTCTAAAGATGCATTTGTTTGAAGCAAAACCACATAAAATGTCTAATAAACGAAGCAAAACCAATTTATTTTATGATTAAACCAAGAACAAATATCTGCCTTCATATTTGGCTTCATTCAAAGCCAAAACAAGTTTTATGACAGATTATTGTTGTTTTAAGCATAAACTCGCTTCATTTTGCATCTCAAGTTTCTTGATTTATGGATGTTCAGACATTTGTATTGGAAAACGAGACATAAATACTGAGGAAGCGCATGCAACATTCATAATAGCTTTATAATAACTATCCATAACTGTGTCAAGCACAGACTTACTCCTCGCCTGCGGCTCTGCTTGGGCTTGACAACGTTTTTGGTCACTGGATGACCTTTGTTAAGACCAACCGCCATAGGATACCTGATGGCCATGTCTGTGGAGAGAAATTAGTTTTAATATACATTCATAAACAGGTTAAATATGAAAACACTGTCATGTGTGCTGAGAGGCTAGACACTAGCAGGCTGTATGACGGCTCGAAGTCATTATATAACAGTATTTCAAGATTCGAGCGAATACATATAAACATTTTCTACGCGTTTTGGGTTTGGAGATGACATATTATGCTTTATTTATAATAACAGCGTTTGAGAATCACGTCAAAGCGCTATATGGCATCCACTCGGAGCTAAAGCCTCAAAACCCCACGAACATCAGGTTTAAAGTTCACAATAGCAGCTGGAAGCCGCTTCATACGGTTTATATTTGCAAAAGCAAACGCTTTTGTGTTGATTTGAGACACGATGGATTAGATATTAATCCGATTTTATCGCTTGTGGCTCTCCGGCGATTCATACCTGCGCTTTGCTAATGGCGTCCAAACCGGAAGGACCGCTGTCAGGCGGAAGCTGATCTTTCACACGCGACGACAAGAAAGGAGTTCGCGGGAAAAATAAGTAGCGCCGCCTAGAAGCAAAGTACTTATACTGCTCTTTGCTAGAAGCGAGTAAAAGATTTTATAAAACAACATCTAGGCCGGTGTGTTAAGAGATTACTTTAAAGTTAGTGTTTTTAATGCATGTTTTTCACTTAATAATAACCTTTCGATCGAGTAAAATCAATATGACAATTTTATTTTCCTTCTACATTTTTCATCGAAATATAAATATAAGAAAATGATACATTTTTTGAAATTTCTACTTATTTTTATTTGTTATATTTATATTATTTTGTTGTATATTGGCAATATAATTCTTAAAATAAAATAAAAAGGCTTTTATTCGATTTATTTAAATTTGTAAACGTCTTTCAGTGCCTTACCGAGTCTATTTCCTTTACTGTTTTTGTGCCATTTGTTTTTCAAATTGCACTGAAGTTAATAATAATAATAATAAAATCAATGCGTGAATTATGAGCCACAAACAAAATTAACGAAGTAAAAAAGAATGAAAACAATAAAAACCTAAACATGAAAAAACAAAAAGGCGAAAACATGTAATAATATAATATCATATGAAAAAAAATCCACCTGGTTGGTCATGAATTATGAGCTACACACAAATGAATATGAAAATACACAACGGTTAAAAAGAAAGTTGCTAAGGCTCTTCGAAAAGTAAAATAATAATAACACGCTATAAAAATAACGGCTGTTTCGGACTACATCTCCCATGAGCACTTGGACTGAATTTTGGCGCGGTTTTACGTTAGCGGCGGCCATTTTCTTCTCACACCTCCGTTTCAAAGACAGCCAACCAGCTCTCGGACTACAAACCACAGTTTCATTCAAAAAACTCCGCAAACAAAAACTTCCAACCGCCACCGGAGAACCGTTCCAAGCGCGACTCGGAGGCCGCAGCGTACACCGGGCCGAAGTGGAACTCGGAGGAGTGTTTATTTGAGCTGAAGTGGGTGTCTGTAGCGTGAAACGATATGGCGACCGCAACCCCGAGCCGCGCGTCGGCCGCGCAAACGCCGCTGAGCCCCGCGCGGATCTCGCGTCTGCAGGAGAAACAGGAGCTGAGCGCGCTTAACGACCGCCTGGCCGTTTACATCGACCGCGTGCGGTCCCTCGAGCTCGAGAACGACCGGCTGCTCGTCAAAGTCTCCGAGAAGGAGGAAGTCACGACCAGAGAGGTACCAACGTTACCGAGCCGTTCCTTTGTGCTGCTTTTACGATCTATAAATCCGCCTGTGCGTGTCGTTTTCACTTCCAGAGTTGCTAAGTGTCGCGTTTTTCTGTTAACGCGGACTTCTAGTTGACATTGCTTGCGTTTAGCGTTCATGTTGTGCTTTTAATGTGCGTTTAAACCTTTTAAAGTGTGTTGAGCGTGATGCACAACATTTGAAAAATCGCGCGAGGAAGTCATGCATTTTGACACAATCAAGCCCGCGTATGCAAATCCACGCACAAATCTGTACATCAATGCACTGCATGTAAAAACAAATGTATGGGAGATCTAGAAAATGCACGCAGGGAGTGGCCAGTGAATTCTTGTGTCCATGTGCTTCCAAAACACAGTTTCATTCAAAAAACTCCGCAAACAAAAACTTCCAACCGCCACCGGAGAACCGTTCCAAGCGCGACTCGGAGGCCGCAGCGTACACCGGGCCGAAGTGGAACTCGGAGGAGTGTTTATTTGAGCTGAAGTGGGTGTCTGTAGCGTGAAACGATATGGCGACCGCAACCCCGAGCCGCGCGTCGGCCGCGCAAACGCCGCTGAGCCCCGCGCGGATCTCGCGTCTGCAGGAGAAACAGGAGCTGAGCGCGCTTAACGACCGCCTGGCCGTTTACATCGACCGCGTGCGGTCCCTCGAGCTCGAGAACGACCGGCTGCTCGTCAAAGTCTCCGAGAAGGAGGAAGTCACGACCAGAGAGGTACCAACGTTACCGAGCCGTTCCTTTGTGCTGCTTTTACGATCTATAAATCCGCCTGTGCGTGTCGTTTTCACTTCCAGAGTTGCTAAGTGTCGCGTTTTTCTGTTAACGCGGACTTCTAGTTGACATTGCTTGCGTTTAGCGTTCATGTTGTGCTTTTAATGTGCGTTTAAACCTTTTAAAGTGTGTTGAGCGTGATGCACAACATTTGAAAAATCGCGCGAGGAAGTCATGCATTTTGACACAATCAAGCCCGCGTATGCAAATCCACGCACAAATCTGTACATCAATGCACTGCATGTAAAAACAAATGTATGGGAGATCTAGAAAATGCACGCAGGGAGTGGCCAGTGAATTCTTGTGTCCATGTGCTTCTAATTTGTGCATCTTATTTTTATGCATGCATGACTTGATCGCTTAAGTCATTCGCTTATGTGTTAAAATGCATGTAAAAGCACGCTAAAACCGCTCTAAGTGTGTGTTTAGAGTGCGTTTAGCGTGATTCCTGGACTTTGAGTGTTGTCCTGGTGTGCTTGGGCGTTTTCCTCAAAGTTTGGGAGTGGCCAAATGCTCTTTTCAAATTTGAATCTGATCTCCACCATCTGTTAACATTGTTTTGAATGGTGACCACATCAAACTCAACCCCTGGTTTGGCACAAATGCGAAAAGAAATAGTTTTGAATGCAGTTTAACATCTTGCGTCGGCCTGTGAAAGCATTTGGACATGCACATGTTGTGTATTTTCGACTTAAACCGAGTTTATTTGCAAGTAATGTCTGATAGTAGCTGCTTAAGGTTTTAACTCAAGACTTGTTGGGTCCTGAACTCATCAAATAACTTGTTAGAAAATAATATGAATCAAGTTTGAATTGGTGTTTTTAATTTGTTAATATTTCGAATTAATTTGGTTTTTATGGAAACCCGTTTCAGACACAGAATAAAAAAATAAAAAGGGTATTTGCGACTCACAATCCTGAGAAAATAGTCACAATCACCTTTTATATTTTTAAATCCAGAATCACAATTTGTAAACTTAGAATTGCAAAAAGTCAAAATCATGTTGATATCTTGCAATTATGACTTTTTTTTTTTTTCAGAATTGCACGTTTATTTATCGCAATTCTGTTTACATCTTCGAAAGTACGCATTTTGAGAAATTCGCAATTGATATTATCATTTTGTCATATATATATTAATATTATTAGTGCTGTCAAACGATTAATCGCATCCAAAATAAAAGCTTTTGTTTACATAATATATGTGTGTGTACTGTGTATATTTATTATGTATATGTAAATACACACACAGTATATATTTTGAAAATATTTACATGTATTTACATTTATATAATTATATTCTTATATTTTATATTATATTTAAATATATTTAATATATAAACAACATATTTTTCTTAAATATGTATGCATGTGTTTGTATTGTACAGCACACACACATATTATGTAAACTTTTATTTAGGGGTGGTCCGATCAGGATGTTTGAGGCCGATCACAGGAAGCGGTATCTGCCGATACGATCACCGATACCGATCTTTTTAAAGCCTTCTTTTTATCATTTAGAATTATTTATCGTGAAGATCCAATCAAGATTTTTAGACATTTATTCAGGGCATTTTTATTTATTTATTTTTTTTACAAATCTATATTTATCTCACCCAAATGTTTGATCATGCACTGTATTTTTGTTTTTACAATCGTGTTATCGTTGCACAATAGCTTGCACTGCGCAAGCCTGATTTTGTGAGCTGTGTGTGAGGTTCACACATACTCCGTTTGCAGTGCGTGTGCGGTACAGAAGCAGCACGGACTGTGCTTTCACACAGGAGTTTGCTCCTGATCTGTGGCTGTTTACCACAAACACAACATTTATCCATTATTTTGATTTTAAATCCAAACATTGTCACTGAAAATGCTTTTTCAGCATTGCAATTCTTTTTTTTACACAGGACAGTAATACAATCTTTCACAGACATGTTTAAACACAAATGCATGATCATATTTACCGCAAACAATGCGCTGCTACTTTAATTCCGCACGTGAGGCGCAGCAAAAATAGACTCAGTGCGGAAACCATCTCTGCACTGCTGCAGATGCACCGCTCCTAAACGCACTGCCAGACCGCAACCGTGTGTGCAGTGTGAACGCTTTAATCCGTTGACATGAGCGCGGAAAAAATACGCACCGCAAACAAAGTAATGTGAACCTGGCATTATGTGTGTGCGCTGCAAGTGTGCATGAGCGCACGGTCTCCAGGAGAGCGTGAAACGTGCAGTGCTCATGTTTATTCAACGAAGTCAAATGGCACAAATAAATCAATGTATGGGAAACTGGTAATGTATATCGAAATATCGGAAATGTGTTTAAAAATCATATCACCGTTATTGAAAAAAATTATATCGCGATACATATTGATATTGAATTATTGTCCAGCCCTAAGTTAATGTTTGTTTTATTTCAAGTAGCAGGTGTTTTTTAATGCTCTTATTAAACGTTAATAACTGAGGTTTGAGGGACGCCGGTGCGTGTAAATCTCTTGATGGTGTGGGTTTTTTTTTTTTTGTTCAGGTGTCTGGGATAAAGTCTCTCTACGAGGCCGAGCTCGCGGACACCAGGCGTGTGCTTGACGAAACGGCGCGTGAAAGAGCCAAACTTCAGATCAATCTGGGAAAAGCCAACTCGGAGCTCGAGGAGGTCACCCGCAAGTGAGTATCGCTCAAAAACACACTCGTGATATGAAAAGACCAGCTGAGTCCATTATCCTCTTTTAATTACCCATCAGGCTTTAAGTGAGTGGTTGTCTTAAACGTAAGTCGGTCTTAACTAACCTGACTCAAATCCGCTTTCCATCTGCTGCTTTGAATAATGCCACCAGAAGATCAACGTCTCAGTTTTTTTCAAATCTTTTTGTGCTTCAGACTTCATGTTTGGTTGATCTCGTTGTTAATGAGCGCATATAAACAGGAAGTCTGTTGCTTCGTGCCCGATTGTGGGCGACTGTTTTAACCACAGGAGTGTGTCACATCATGCTACCAACCTGCAATTGTCACGAAGATTTCACCAGTTTTATCTGCACTTAGGGGATTTCTTGTTTTATTCTAGCAGGATTGAGAATCTCGATTACGTCATATGAAATGTTAGCAGAGCTTGTGTTGTAGCAACTGAAAAAAATACAGGAACTTACTTGTAGAGGGATTAAATGTTTTGTTCATTGATAGGCATGTAGAAACATGTGAAACCCAGCCCACATTATTATTATTATTCTAACTTATTCATATTTTTATAGTATTTCTTGTACTCATTTTAATAAAAAGAGACAATAGTATTATTTTTATACTTTTGTTATTATCTATGTGGTTTGCATTATTTATATTTACATAATCTATTTTTAAACTTCATGTCTTTTAATGTAATTCATACATTTGTATCGCTAATATTAGTTTTTTTATAGTATTAAAAAATACAACATTATTTTATTATTATTATTATTCATGTGGTTTCTATTTTTTGTTTTATTTATACCATCTATATTTAAAGTTTGTTTTTATTGGTCATTATCTGTTATTTTTTGTATAATATATTGCTTATTTTTGTTATTATATAATATACTTTTTTATAACCTTTTGTTTTTATATTTTTTGTAATTTGTCATAATTTTTTGGTCATGTTTAACATGAAGTAACATTTCTGTAACTTTTTAAATTTTTTATTATTATCATCATCACCCTAAATTGTATAACTTAATGGTTTTTATTTTATATATTTACATTTTGTAACTTTTACCATTATATATTTTTTTACTGTAATTTGTTTGTTGATTTATATAATTTATATTTTTATAATTTATTCGTTATCAATATAATAATTAATTGTATAACTTAATATTGTTCTTATTTTATATATTTACATTTTCATAACTTATTCTTTATATATATATATTTTTTTTTGTTACTGGAAATTGATGTTTATGGAATAGAATTTTTTATAACTAATCCATTATTATCATATTGAATATTTGAGTACAGTTGTTAAATTTAACACTTAACTTTTTGGGATTAGTGAGATCGACATCTTTCAATGCACGATTATAATAAACAGGTACTTCTTGTTCAATAAAGCATATTTTATTGATCTTTGGCATCAATAAAATATATTTTTTACCCTTTGGCGTCAATAAAATATTTTTATCAGACATTTTCTGTAGCTTATGTTTATTAAAAAAAAAGAAAAAAAAAAGCAGTGCATTAAAACTGAACACAATACATTTTGATATGAAAACACATTAAGAAGCACATTAAAGTGTAATAGATAAATCATAATGTTTTTGTAATGCAATGACAGCCATTCCTAAAGATTGGTTTTGATTCTTTATTCATCCAAAGATTGGCCGTCTGAATTTGTTTTCCAGCTATAAGAAGAAGGATGGAGACTTGGCTCTGGCTCAGGCTCGAATCAAGGAACTGGAAGCGCAGTACAACAAGAACGAGGCGGCTCTCAACACGGCGCTCAGCGAGAACAAGTCTTTATCCGCTGAACTCGCCGACCTGAAGGCTCAGCTGGCCAAAGTAAGTCCCTCGATGCTCATTTCGGCCTCCTTCGCTTCAGAATAACGTCTAACGGAGGCGCTGGTCTCGCCGTTTCAGGCTGAAAACGCTCACGGTGTGGCCAAGAAACAGCTGGAGGCGGAGACGCTGATGAGGGTGGATCTGGAAAACCGCTGCCAGAGTCTGGCGGAGGAGCTGGAGTTCAGGAAGAGCATGTTTGAGGAGGTCAGTGCGGCTCACTGTTGCTAATAAAAGACAATCAGTCTGCGCTAGGGGTGTGCGATATATATCGCCTGCGATAATATCGTAATTGTTTAAAGTGCATTCTTTCGCGGTATGATTCAGTTTATTAAAATGCATTTAAAATGATCACAAAATTCAAGATATGGGGCAGAAAATGTATATATTTATATCATTTTGATATAGTTGATCAATATCACACGTGCCATTTTTTTTCATTAGTATGATACTTTTTTACAACAGTTCAATAAACAAGAAGTTAATTAAGAGACTTACGTTTTAGACGCCATATTCTGTGTTTCCCCTAGGTTTAGGGCCCTATGAAATGTTTTATTTTTTTCCAACCTTATGTTTTATTGTTACCAAATTCTGTTTTAGCATGTCTAATTATTTGAAAGCATAAAAACATGTTTCATTTTTTTCTTACAATAGCTTTATGATTTTTTCCTCAGAAATTCTGTTGTGTATTTAATTTTTTTTAAGGCACAAAACAGTAATTTAATCTCTTTTAATTCATGAAAATTAAACATTTTATTTTTGGAAAATAAAGGGGATTTAATATTACAATTAAAACATTGAAGAAATATTGTATGATTATAACTTAAAAATAAGGTTTTAATAATTTTAGTAGTAGTAGCCTATTACGTACATTCTGCTGAACAATAGAAATATATTTCTGCCGCAATGTCTTCGTTAAACCAAACTTTTATTTTGACGGGTTGCCGTGAATACCTTTACATTCCTGTGTGTATATGATATGAGGATAGTTTTACTCGAATAAAACGGTCAAATGCTCATGAAGTGACTCAGGGCAGTTCTGGAGATGTTGTTCATGTATTTATGTCCTCATTCAGTGAGACAGCAGACGTTAATATCACCGGAAGTGTCGCTTCAGTACGAGTAGTAAACAAAACCGCGCATCTGCGCCATTCATTAACACAGAGAAACGCAGAATTCATATTTAAATAGTCGTTTTGTGGCTATATAATTACAAATACTACTGGGAGTGGGAGTGTGTGTGTGTGTGTGCACGCGCGCGCATTGGGGTGGAACTCCGCTGTGCACAATGCAGAGAGCACGACCATAACGTAGAGACCGAATTGACATGCCGTCGTGTAAATAAGATAAATAACATATGGCTATTTAGTTTGTTTAATAAATGAGCAAGGTATAATAGACCTGTTCTATAGGAAAGGTAACTTTAAATGACTTCTGTTGTGATCTGGCGCTATAGAGAAAATAATTAAATAAAATTAACTTGACCTTCAAGGGGGGCGGGCCACCCCCCTAATATAATGGCAGGGGAAACACTGCTTTGCAAGGCTGTGCATTCGACTAAGCGTACGCGGAAAAACAAAATATACTTTGGGCTTTACACACAGTAATGAATGTTTAAAAAACAAAACAAAAAAGTATTGGGTAAAAGCATCCCCCATGTTATGTTAACCTAATGATGTTATTTTGTTTAAAGGCCAACAGTTGGAAGCAGCTATTCTGCTCTTGCCTGCACTGTTCAAGGAGGACCCGGGGTTGCTGTATGAAGTTGAGGTGAGCCATGAACAGTTTACTACAGTGTGTGAAGCACAATCTAATCAAAGCACTACACTTATTACTCACACATTTTATTATGCAAATGATTTTAATACAAGCATTAGTGTTTTTGTTGGTCTACACAAACTATCCTATCAAAGTAAAGAAAAAATTACATTCATTTTCAGTTAATGGCCAAAAGTATTTGAGCAGCTGTACGACAGTAGTTAAAATTAATTTAACTCATAAGGTTTGCTTTTAAAATAGATATGAGAAGATGGTTCATGCTATTATTTCCTCTCCTCCAGGGCCATGCTCAGACCAGCCCTCCTGACATCCCAACACCTAAAATGGTGCTTAAAGGCTGCAGGGAGGGTCATCCCATGCAGTATGACCATATTGTGCTCACTTTGGATGGCCAGGTAATCACAGAGGAGAGCGAGGACATCTCGATGGCACTGGGTCTCCTCTTGTGTGGAGAAAATAAAATTAACTTGACCTTCAAGGGGGGCGGGGGGTGCCTTTTGGGGGGTGGTTAAAAGATTCCGTTCAATCGCAATGACTCACTTATTAACTGTAACTTGCTGCCACCTACTGGCGGTTTTGATTTCACATTTAAAGTATCTTTTCATTTTTTAAATTATTTCAAATATCAGTATTCAATGTTTTCTGTGCACAATGCAGAGAGCACGACCATAACGTAGAGACCGAATTGACATGCCGTCGTGTAAATAAGATAAATAACATATGGCTATTTAGTTTGTTTAATAAATGAGCAAGGTATAATAGACCTGTTCTATAGGAAAGGTAACTTTAAATGACTTCTGTTGTGATCTGGCGCTATAGAGAAAATAAAATTAACTTGACCTTCAAGGGGGGCGGGGGGTGCCTTTTGGGGGGTGGTTAAAAGATTCCGTTCAATCGCAATGACTCACTTATTAACTGTAACTTGCTGCCACCTACTGGCGGTTTTGATTTCACATTTAAAGTATCTTTTCATTAAATAATTTCAAATATCAGTGGTAAACCTTTTATGTATAATATATTAAAACATTATTTATGCATTTGTAACTGCATGTTAAATGCATTCATGTCCTGCATTAAACAGTGTGTAAATACATCTAAATGCCACTTCAGATGCAGCTTCTGTGTTTCCTCTGCATTGTTGTGTTAATAGGCTACTGTTAATTTAGTTGATTCTGATTTCATTTGCTTGGTAACAGCCCAAATGTCTTGTTATTCTAATTGACTGATGAGATTTAAGAATTTGACTCAAAAGATGACGCACACTTTTAGAAAAAATGGCTTTATAAAGGTAAAAATGCCCATTAAAATGTAAAAATCAATTTAAACTTATTGGAAATGATTAATTTCTGTCACTGCTGTGAACTGACCACCACACAGAATATGAAGAATATCATTAACATTAAAGAAACATTAGGAGTCAGCCGTCCACGGTAGTCCTTAAGATACCAGCACAATAACACACTCAGCAAAATATCGTCTAATTATCGTTATCGATAAAATCCCAGAAAATATCGAGAAATAATTTTTTGTCAATATTGCACACCCCTAAACTGCGCTGTCAAAATAAAAGTCCCATGTGCTGACAAAATAAAAGTCCCATATTATGTCAAAATAAAAGTCCCATGTGCTGTCAAAATAAAAGTCCCATATGAGGTAAAAAAAAGTCGGACAAGAAAATATTGGCCGATAATTAAAAAAATGGCAAATATCAGCCGATATATCTGGTGACCATTACTTTCTCAAGTCAAAGGTCGGCTCTAAAACATGAATGTGTAATGCAGGAGGTGCGTGAGACTCGCCAGCGTCGTGAGAAGCGCATGGTGGAGGTGGATTCGGGCATGCAGCAGGACTACGAGTTCAAGCTGGCGCAGGCGCTGCAGGATCTGCGCAGACAGCACGAGGAGCAAGTGCAGATCTACAAGGACGAGCTGCAGCAGACCTTCAAGGCCAAGGTCACAAACGCTAGGTTCGCAAATAAAGTTGCTTTTGGAAGCGTGTTTTGTTTAAGCTAACTGAAATCTTCCTTCTGTAGCTGGATAATGCCAAGGTGTCGTCTGACCTGAATGATAAGGCAGTGCTCACTGCCCGCGAGGAGCTGCAGGAAGCCCACATGAGGATCGAGGGCCTGAGCTATCAGCTCAGTGCTCTGCAGAAACAGGTACGCATGGCCTGCCGTGTCCTAAATAAAGTTACAGCATCTTCAGTCATAATACTTGGCATACTAGTTCCTGTGACTGTTCTAATCAATCAAGTATGCTTAGTTTTTAGGGTTAATGTTGCTTATAAACTCTTGCACTAGTGACGTTTTGACGAGTAGTTTCCATTTCAGCGTACTACTTTGCCGCATGTACTTCTTCAGGCAGGATTTGGCCAGTGTTTCCGTAATACAGGGCTTGACAGTGACTGTTTTCACTCGCATATGCGACTACGGGTCCTTAATTTATGACCTTTAAACCTTCAAATTTTTTTAAGTAGTTTATTTATTTTGTTAATGACAATTTAATGCATTTTACATTATCCATATAACTAACTTTTATTTTTGTTTGTTATTTTTATGTAATATTATAATTTATATTTTATAAAATTTTTAATATATTTTTTATTTTTATGTAATACATTATAATTTATATTTATAACTATTTATATTTTTTGTCATCAAGTGTATAGCTTTTATTATTTAACTTTTTTTGTTTAAGTATTTTACATTTATAAATATCTTTAATGGCCTAATAAATATTATATTTTCATA